TGACCAATTCTATAAAGCCACACGGCCACAGAGACTGGCAAAACATTAGGAAGAAAAACCTTTAGAACACGGCCAAAGAGCCTGAAAAACCCACAACAATCATTAACAACAAAGAATTGGTCTCTAAGTCTTATAGTTGAAGCTTAAAGGTGAAATTCTTTGTTGGAATTAACATAGAAGCTTGGCTGAACTTGGCTCAAGTCGATTACACTAAAAATGTGATACAAGTCGTATATGTAAGCTGGAGTGGGTTGTACACTGACTGGCAGCGAACCTATGCAATGTCTACTCATAAGAGGACAAAAATTGTGCACTCCTTGATGACTACTTGATGAGACATAATCAACAGGTGAAATTCTTTGTTGGAATTAACATAGAAGCTTGGCTGAACTTGGCTCAAGTCGATTACACTAAAAATGTGATACAAGTCGTATATGTAAGCTGGAGTGGGTTGTACACTGACTGGCAGCGAACCTATGCAATGTCTACTCATAAGAGGACAAAAATTGTGCACTCCTTGATGACTACTTGATGAGACATAATCAACAACAATGATAGATTTCTAGGCTACAGTGGGGTCTTGACTTAAGAACGACTTGAGTTAAGAACATTTTGACTTAAGAACCGCTCTCATAGGAAAATACTGACTTGACTTAAGTACTTAGATTTGAGTTAAGAACTGATAAAAACCACGTGGGAGGCAGGGAAAGTGCAAAATTTGCACTTTCAGTTAACTGTTGGCCAGTGAAAAGGGGGCCTGTCTGCTTCCTCACTCCTCCCAGCGTTTAGAGAGTGGATTGGGAGACAGTCTTCAGACTGCCTGGTACTGTACTTGCCTGGACTGTATTTTCCCTGCCTTCCCTGAACCTTTCTTGACCTAAGAAAAAAAGAAACAAAATATCTCCCTCTAAGTGGTCGAAGGTGGAATAGCAGCTTCCCATTAGTTTCTATGGACGGAAAAGAGCAGATACGGATCAAATGGTTTTCAATGCATTCCTATGGGAAATGCAGATTTGACTTGAGAACTTTTTGACTTGAGAACCGCCTTCCAATACGAATTAAGTTCTCAAGTCAAGACCCCACTGTATTTGCAATAGGCGGTGAAGACCTTTGGATTACTGCAAGAGTAGCAATGATAGATTTTTAGGCTATTTGCAATAGGAGGTGAAGACCTTTGGATTACTGCAAGAGTATAAGTGCTCTGAATATGACATGAGCCAATGGTTAGCACCAACCAAAATATCCGTGCCACAACTAACTTAAAGCTGTTGGCTACTATAGCTAATGGCATCATTCACCCCATATAGGAGAGATATGGGGCATGTGGGCATCCTGATGTTGGCCTGCAACTCCCTCATCATCTGGGGCTGATGGAGGTTTCAGTCAAGCAACATACATTCCCCACCTCTTCTATCTTTCAATAGTGAACTCATTCTCCAAATGTCAAGATGGCACCACCATGCAGAAGAGGGAGGTATCAATAGATTTGGTGTGGAAACTAAACAGAACAGAGGGTGTGATCAGACAGGAAGGTTGGATTACACTGATTCATGTTGGGAAAGGTTGCGTCTCTGGCTGTAATCTCCTTTAAAGTGACCCTTCTGTGCACAAACAGTTTGGTCCCCATCGCTCAAGCCCTACTGCCCTCCCCCCAAAAAGGTGCCTCGCTGCTAGATCAAAAAGGTCTAGATTGGGCATAATGCAGATTCAGGCTGGTTTATGATTTCATGTACGTTGTACAGCCACCAGAAAACAGCTAGAACCAGACCATGCCACACTGCAATCTTTTTGTTGAAGGTCCCACTTGTTTCAGCAGATTGTTGAAATGTGTGACAACAGAAAAGGGTCTTTAAAGGGAAAAGAAAGTTAAAAACAGAAGATGGGTGGAACTTGTGGAGCATGAAGGTCCTTAAATATTTCATACACTGGGCCAGGGCAGTTTTTGGGTGGATCCATCCTTCCTCCATTTGTTACAAACTCCAAGACCTCCTGGTTACTTTTGCTGGGATATGGCATATATCCAAGAGAAAATATTTCCCACAGCAGTACTCCAAAAGACCTGTACACAAAAGACAAAGATAGGAGATAATGGGTACATGTTTGGAAAGCGGCGTAAATATGAGTGGAGAAAGATTTTGCAAGAGCCTTTTATACTGTGCAGTCCTATGCTATCAAATTTTGGAGGTTTGAAGCACTGGAACTACTATATTGTGTCATCATCCCACACCATGTAAGAGAGGCTTGAGATTGTATGACAGGAATCCTCATCAGAACTTCATCCTCTATCAGTATCGTGCCTGTTCTTTGGAAAGGTCAAAGATGGCAGCAAAGGAATAAAAAATAGCATGGATTCCTCCCATATGACTTGCAACATCTGAGGTTACTAACCACACAAGAAACACCAGAAGGAGGCCTATTTCTTACAAAATATGCAATATTAGATTTCAAAGTTATTGTAATTTGTTAGTGTTAGAAGTTAACAGCTTAAAAATGTTTGTTGCTGTTAATGTTTGTAAAAGAAAACCTTTAACCTGTTGAATTAAATCATAATTCACATTCTTAGTTTGAAAATAAACATGGGATTTACCCTCTTTTGAAATCTGAAATGTTATTCTTGGTGGTTTAAGGCTACATTCTCCAACCAGGCTCTTCCCAACCCCCCACCCCAACAGACTATAAATCTGTTTAGAACTGCAGTTTTTAGGTAGAGATTCATGGTGATGCAATATGTCCAAACAGATGTCTGCTCTAAAACATACAGTCTCACCTTGCCAATGCATCACTACGAACTGTCTTTATAAAGCCAATGGCCAAAATTTTGTTGCTTCGCATAGTAAATCACATTAAAGTAAGTATTATCGGGCCTTTGGCTGTACAATAAATTTGTACTGTATGAAATTAAGTATATTGAATCAATGGGATTTTGGTGGGTCAACTCTTCCATAAGTGCTATTGATTCAAGTGGGCCTACTCTAAGTGTGAGTTACTTTATCATAGTATGTCATAGCTAGAGTGAAGCCCATTTGAAGCAATTGAACTTACAGATAAGTTGGTTCACTAAATGTCCATGAATTCAATGGGCCTAGTCTGGTGCAATTTAGTAAACTATAAAGCAATAGGATTTTGGCCAATAATTCTCTTGTCACAATGCTTTAAACTAGAAAGGTTATTGCAGAAAGTATGCAGTAAGTATGAAGTATAAAATATTGAGAAGAGCTGGTCTTGCTTCCTGCATAGCTATTTAACTCTCGGTTACAAATCTTCTGTCACCTCAACACCTGGAAGAGACATGCACACAACTGAAAACTACTGATTTCTAGTTGCTAATGGATCACCTAGTTTATCCTCTGAGAAATTTGGATTTGAAGTCAAAGCACCTTTTGAGGAAGATTGTTTGGAAGGTGAAAGATTCAAGATGAATGGTTTGCATCATTCCTTCGGTAAGCAAAACTTAATTTTTGGAATAGAAATGAGAATGACTATCAGCATTTCTCTACCCAAATCTGTCTTGACTTCAGAAAGGACTTAAATACAGTTCACACACTTAGGGTGTCTTTTATTTGTTGCAGACTAGAATTTTGTTGCAGAGAAGATACTCATTGCTAATCTGCAAGAACAACCATCTTCAGAGTAAGGGCCATGCGAATAATACAAATTTTATCTTTTAACCTGCATAAAATCTTCTTCAACAAGCTGGTTTTGCTTCAAACCCAACTTTTAAAGAGTATTTATCAAACTAAATTATCTGTGGGCAACCAGAAGACACTAGTTTTGAGAGACTATGCTGTTGATGTGCTGGGTTTGTAAGGAAACTCATCACTGTGAGCTGAATAGCGACATAGGATAAGTTTTTATTTATCTCAATACACCTTCATTATATTTACCACAGTAACTTCGCTAACATTGTGCTAAAGAAGCCTGTGTAAAAGTAGCTAGAGAGCAATTAATTCTGTGTGAAACAGTGGCTTCCCAGTTTAAGATCCTCAGTGTTCTTAGACTACACCAAGAAGGTGGTCTCGGCCTTGTCTGTGTTATCTGAAGCATCTGAGAGTTGTAGTTTAAAAATACCTAGGGATCAACTGTGGGAATCACTACTCATAAAGCCAATTTTCCTTTGGAGTAGTATACATATTTCCCTCTTCAGGGAAGGAGTGTGCATATATATATTTCCTCTTTATTGGTTGACAACCAAAAATATTGTTAGTGTTGTTTTTAAAATACCATATTTATTGGGAGCATTTAGTTTTTTGAAGCTCTGTATTTGACAATAATGATCAGGCTTACCAGGTATCTGTTTTGGATGTGAACATCCCTTCCATGAAGGCCTCAGGTGGCATCCACTTGACAGGGAGCATTGCACACCCTCCTTTTCTGTAGTAGCTGGCCCTATTTAGGGGTGCCAGAAGATTAATGAGACACGTATTGGCTTCTTTGTGCCTAAACATTGGCTCATCAAGTAATTCAATTGTGTGGCAGTGGAAACGACGATTGCAACACTAGTAGCTACTTTCCCACCTTTTCTTTTCTTTTCTTTTTTAAAAATGGCAATGTTATGTCAAGAATATAATTGTTTGATTTACAGGGGAAAAACAGGGACAAGATATTCAGGGCAGTATTGAAATGAGGGAATAACAGAAAGTCCTTCTCTTCTGAGGACTGACATCCTTTCCTACTTCTGCTTCTTGCAGATAACATTTCTTCTTCTTCTTCTTCTTCTTCTTCTTCTTCTTCTTCTTCTTCTTCTTCTTCATCATCATCATCATCATCATCATCATCACTATCATCATCATGATCATCATCACTATCATCATCATGATCACCATGGGGTTTCCAAGTAAGGAATGCACAGAAGTGATTTACTATTCCGTTCTCCTGGGGACCCCCTGAGACTGTAGCTTGCTCAGGGCCACACAGACTAGCTCTACTCGCAGGAGGCACAATGGGGAAAAGAACTCCAAACCTCTGGCTCTGCAGCCAGATATCTAAACCACTAAGCTATCCAACCAGCTAAGCAACATTTACATGCCCATTGTTTACCTATAAAAAAATACTGATTCCATCTTTCAATCAGACTACTAATGAAGGCAATATTCGCATTTCTTTGTGTCCTTAGTCTGCAGAATACAAGGAGTCAGATCAGGGCTATGTGATTGCAAAGTCTGAAGAAGTGGACTTGTCCATGAAAGCTTGCATTTAAATATAGCAGCTAGTCTTTAAGGTGCCACAACATTTTTGAACCCATATGTGGTACAGTACTTCTCCGATTAAGTAATTCCCCAGACTGACATTAGAGGGCGCTGTGGAAACATTACTATTGCATTATGAATAATATACGTATATATTATTAAATTCTTCCTGGCACCTTCTAGTACTGCACGATCATTAATCCCAGAATCTTGGATAAATTCCAGACTGGATAATTACATTCTTTTGACCCTTCCCCTTCTTTTATGTGCTGTAAATCAAAGAGATTTACTAATGATACAGAGAATGAAGGGAACAGGGTCAATGCTATGGACGATGATGCTGAAGCTTCACAAAAGGATTATGCCACTTGTGGAAAAAGTGAAGAAAAGGTAAGGTGGTTGGTATCGCAATTAAAAGAGAATGCACAGTAATGACCAAGAAAAGTGATTTGAGAAAGTTGGGTGAGTCCACAGTATTGAAGGAGAAATGAATTCCGCAAGTGTCTCAACTGTGCCAGGAATATTAAAAGACCCACAGCTATAGCAACCTACCAGAGCCTAGGACAGTGATGGTGAACCTTTTTCAGCCCGAGTGCCCAAACTGCAACACAAAATCAACTTATTTATTTCAAAGTGCCACTACTGCAATTAAAACCCAAATGCTGAGGTTTTAGTTTAAAAAAACAACTGCTCCTGCACTGCAAAGGTTAAATGCTTGGTTGTTGTTTTTTCCTATGGGCGGTATTGACAAATAAATACTTACAGGTCCTCCAATCCCCCATTGGGCCGGACCGGTAATGGTCGCCATTGCACCCCTACGCTGGACCACTGCATCTGGAGTGCCGAAATCCAGGATTGGAGGACAGGTAAGTATTGCGAGAGGAGTGCCAAAATCTGGGATTGGAGGACAGGTAGGTATTTCTCTATGGTGACTTAAGGCTCATGTGCCCACAGAGAGGGCTCTGTGTGCCGGCTGTGGCATGCGTGCCATAGGTTTGCCATCACTGGCCTAGGAAGAAGATAAGCTACACAAATAAATATATCATATTCAAATATTAATGTTCTATCATGTAATGCTGATAAGAAGCTATATTTTCCTTACCTGTATATGTCCCGAGCCATTCCAAAGTCACCAATTTTAGCTATTCTCCCTGGACCTTTGCAAGTTAGGAGGCAATTTCTAGCAGCAATGTCTCTAAGGGAGGAGGGGAAAAAAGAAAGTTGTTCTTATATAGCAAAAATGGGTAACCTTGTTCAATCCAGGAACAATTTCCCCCTAGAATCCTCTCTGGATCATATACAGCACCAGAAGTAACTGGTAATACTTTTATGGTATTTTTTGGTGTTAAACATGGTGGTGGAAGGGGAGGGAGTCTCCTGCAACCTATTTAAAAGGTGAACTGCTGCTTCTGCAGGCTTCCAGCAATGACCTTTCTTTCTTTCTTTCTTTCTTTCTTTCTTTCTTTCTTTCTTTCTTTCTTTCTTTCTTTCTTTCTTTCTTTCTTTCTTTCTTTCTTTCTTTCTTTCTTTCTTTCTCTCTCTCTCTCTCTCTCTCTCTCTCTCTCTCTCTTTCTTCTCTCTCTCCTTTCTTTCTTATAAGATGGGGAGTCTAATAAGACTAAGGCTCACAAAAGTAACCCATGTGCAGCCCCAGGTCCATTCTTACTTTAACCACTTAGAAGGAATTTCAAAAGAAAGAAAGAAAGAAAGAAAGAAAGAAAGAAAGAAAGAAAGAAAGAAAGAAAGAAAGAAAGAAATACGTATGTGAAACAATGCCCTTGAAGAACAACTGCTCAACTAACAGGCAGTCTAAGGACACAGCTATTGGCTATTGAACAGTTTCATTTTTAAAAAAGATAGCAAAGCTGGAGACTTGGCCGTGCAGGGTTTGAAATTCTATAAATTGTTCCTGTTGATAAACACAGAAGCCAGTGAGTACTAGCTTTAAACCCCCACCTCCACCCCGAAAAAGCAGAAAACAAAACAGCAACAAAACCCTGGCAGCTAGGTTATTTTTTCGTAGCTGACTGGCAACCCCTATGCAACTTGAAATGTTCTTCTGTGATTATATATTTTAAAGGACTTTAATTATTTAAGCTGCATGGTGGTGGTTTTTAAGAAAATGCTTTCAAAACATGCAAACAAATAATGACAACTGGTTCCCACTTTGAAAGCTTTTAACATAACACTGCAAATACAAAGTCTCATTTGCTTCCTGAACATTTTTCTTACCTTTTCTTAGCAAAGAAGCACTGAACCTCTAGGGGGCAGAAGTATACAATCATCCTCAGCAATGCATTGCTCTGTGCTCTTAGAGTTTCATTAGCCCTTTATAAGGAAATCACACACAAAGCACACGGGAGTGGTCCCCCAAGAACCAGTGTTTCTGCCACTTACCTATGGATGAAGTGATTTTCTTCCAAATACTGACAGCCACAAGCAATGTCACGAGCTACATGGAGCAAGTCCAGCATACCCAAGGATGAGGGATGGCTCTAAAAACAAACAAAGGCAAAAACTGCTGGATAGCTCAGTGGTTTAGGTATGAGACAGATTTTGGGAGTTCAGTTCTTCACTGTGCCTCCTTGATAGGGGATGGACTTGGTGATTCATAGGGTCTCTTCTAGCTCCGCAGTATGATATAATTCAAAGCAGAGGTTACCACTGAGCTGTATCATCGATCGATCGATTTATTTAAGAAATTAATTAATTTGTATCCCGCTCCCATTAGAGTCACAGCACTACTCTGGGTGGGCTACAGCACATATAACAGAAAACAGAAATAAAACTAGAAACATTAACAACAGCAACAATACCCACCCACCCCCCAGGTTTTAGATTAGGATTTCCAAAACAGAAGGAAAGCTTGCTGGATACGAAGGGGGTGCTGATAAGTACTGAGCCTTTCCCAGAAAAAATTGAGCTAGGAAGCTGTAACTGCCACCCTATTCTACATATTCCCCCAGGAAGTCAATGCACTTGTGACATCTGCCCTGCAGCTTCTTAAGTCCCTGTAAATAACATTCTTCCAACTACTGATGTAACTGCTCATTTGCAGCATTAGTTGCCTCCAGAACACTCCCAAATCATTGTCCCTTTAGGTGTTATTTTAGTTTGGGGAAGAGAGAATAGTCAGAAGGAGCCAGGTCGGGAGAATAGGGTGGATGGGGTATCACTTGAAAGCCTAAGGACGTCAGTTTTGCCATTGTTTCACCTGCAGTGTGTGACAAGGCGTTGTCATGCAACAGGATGACACCTTTGGAGAGCTTTCCTCAACG